CAAACTCATCAAACTGAACATTTCATTTCTATTATATTCCATGTAGAGTACGTGCCAATAAGACATAAATGCATCTTAGTAAATATGTACCACTTTTCGACAGGTAGGAAGGAAGTGGACTCATTTATGAAGGGTAGCAACATCTTAGCCCTTAGCATCTTTTGTATGCAATCTGTAACTGCTTTTCCAAAATTACAACATGGGTGGGAGCATTTCAAAAGCCAGAGGTTTGGGGAATGGATGGATTAAAAGGTCCACACACAACACATCCAGGAGAAAGGGAAACAAATCCCTGGAGCAGAACAGTGAGCCACAAACAAGCATTTCACAAGATGTCACAACAATACTTTTCCATGAATATTAATTGACTGTTCCATTACAAAATTTATTTGGACGTCTGCAATTTTAAGGGTTAATAATTTGGGATATGGATACTTCCTCTAGTTCTGATTACTGATGTTTTTGTAATTAATCAATTTTGAAGTTCCAAACGAAGAGCAATTTTAAAACATCAGTTAAGGCAAAATGTTGTACTGTTGGGGTGGGCAGGAAGGAAACCTTAGCAGCAATGTATATACCCATGAGATGCCCTGGAGATTATTAAAGATTTATGACATGGCCTGTAGTTCTCAGGGTATCAGTTTCTTCTTCGTGGGTTTAATAGTGACACCCTCGCAGGAATTTTATGGATATTAAAGAAGAAATCACAGTTAATATTTTAACCACAGAATTTGGTTTGTACTTTGTGATTAATAATCTCAATTTCTTTCTCCTTAACCACTACATCTTGTCTTCCAGACCAAGAGAAAGGTTAGCCAATACAACTTACACAGTATTTCAATATCATATAGACTCCAGGTTCTTAAGAAATCAATTTAGAAACTCAATGAAAGCAAGTTATACTAAAGAGCAAACTTTTTATTTTCCACAGAAAATTTTTAAAGAAAACTGGTTACTTCTGGTTAGAGAACTGGCCTAGAACTAAATTGCCCAGAGCCTATAACATAGATAATGTTAAGTTTTTATGTAATCTTGGTAAGGTCAGATTTTCAGAAAGGTTCTAATGGAAGGTTGCTAGTAATTGGTATTAAATAAAGTCTTAAGATATATGCTTCCTCACCTGAGATATGCTCAGCATCTACTCAGCACCAAATTCTGCCCTACAAGCTGATTATCTAAGGCTACAATGCACAGATTTATCCCCAGAGCAAAAAGAATGGAGTCAATGGATACTTTGGCAAAATAGGGCAAAATTTAAATTTCAACCATAGGCAAAAACTATTTTGTGACCTAATAATATGTTTGCAAATCTGATGGCCTTCTTCAGTGGAATGTTGACAGAGTCTCGTTCTGTACCTTCAGAACTGCCAAACTACGTGGGATAAAGAAGAAAAAGAATCAATTTTTCAGATATTTTGTTTTTCATACCAGGGATCCAACTTATGACCTCACACTTATCAGGCTGCTGAGCTAAACCTCTGGCTCCTGAGAAACAATTTTGACAGTTACAACTGATGTACTCTATGGCTCCCAATATTCTCTTTTCCCTGAAGTTTCCACTGTACTATTTGAAGAACCCTGGCTCCCAACTTGAGTCTCTAAGAGTGATTACCATAAAAACACTTTTTTTTTTCTGTATTTCACTTTGGGGGAGATTTAGAATGGGGTATATGATCAATATACATCTCCAAGATATAAGGAAAATTATACTTTTTCTTACAACGTGGAAAATAAACACAACATCATTTGAGCCCTAAAAGGACTCTAAGATTCCTACATCTCACCCCAGCCCTCCCTGCCAAGCACTGTCCATTAATCTGCCATGAACCTGAAAGCTGGAGGGTGTACAGGAGGGAACAGCAGTCACTCTGAACCAACACTTACACTCCTCTCATTTATTATCATGATTAATTGTTTTTCTGCCTGGAAGTCAAAAGATAATCAATCTTAGGCCGGGTTGTTTAAAAGAGTACCGCAACTAGTCATCAAGGCAGTAGCTGCATCAGACACAAGAGGAAAGTCACCATTTCTCTTTAAAAGCATCTAATGTGAGTGTGTGTGTAAATGAATATGAAATAGCAAAGTAGCATGTCTATTTGACTGTTTATCTCCGCGGAAGGATAAACGCACTAGGAAAACACAAGTGATTAAATAATCTCACTAAGCTAACAGGCATTCAACCAGGACAGGACAGACTATTCTAGCTCAGTCTAATATTTTCAGTAGCTTGTTTGATAGAACCAAATACTTTAATTATTTTTATATATGTACATTCAAATGAGTAATTAATCTTCCAAAACATACATATTCACAAACATTTCTTTTGCCTTAGAAATATGACGCTTTTCAAATGTTTAGGTTGATAACGTTCACAATTACAGTTAGAGCTGTACTTTAAAGCACTTGCCTCTTCTCCCCATTACCCATCCCAAAGGGAAGCACACGACAAGGAGAAAAAAGACACCAGGATAAAGACCAGAAGTTCACAGCGTCTATTAGAACATTAATGAACTGTATTTCTATTTACACTTCCTTCACTGCAGCTAATTGTTAGCTATTCTAAGGAAGAGGTTACGCTTTAATTAACAGCATCTGGTAAATAAAAGCTGGTTGTATTTCTTAAGCAAGTTCAAATTTCAGAATTTTTATTGCACAGCAGGAGTTTCAGTTCATCTAACACTTTTATGTGATTAACACTTTTGATCAATGAAGACAGTTTTAAAAAACACCCAAATACTTAATTTCTAGAACTGAAGTTAACAAAAAGCATAATTAATGAGTAAGCAAATGTTTAGAGCGCTAATGTGCTTGCATATTATAGATGAAGGCCATGAAAGGAGATAGAAACACTAGTGGTGTTTAATATTTCTAACTCTGGTTTTTCTTAATACTTAACAAATCTAAGCATTTAGCACCAAAATTTTCATTTCTGTAGCATGTCCCCCCAACCCTGCTCTTTCCATGTTCTCTGTCCTAGCTAAACCTACGAGGCTGAGTTTAATCACGTGCTTTGCCAAACATAAAACCTCATAATTTCTGCTCGCTTTCCCTTCTCCTGAATTGTTCTCTGGTTTGTTGCTTCTCTGAACAGTTGCATTATCCAGTCTCACTACCCATTTCAATTAGATCTCCATACTCATCAACTTTGGAAGTTTTCTTCCTTTCCACCCATTTCTCTCTCTTTTGACAGATGATTAGAAGAAAAAAACAAAGAGTTGGGCATGGTGGTTGGAACACACCCATATCTCAGAACTGTGGGAGGCTGAGGTAGGAACATCACAAGTTACAGGCCAGCCTGGGCAAGTGGTGACTTAGACTTCATAATAAAATTTAAAAAATAAAGTGCAATAAAATGTAAAGTAAAATGACTGGGGAGGCAGCTCAATGAGAACTCTTTAAGTTCAATCCCAGGTACAGCAACAACAATAACAACAACAGCAGCAGCCAGAACAGGGCAGTAAATGTGGAGTTTTGCGCAGAATCCATCAAACTTGGTCCTGATGGCCCACTGTTAGTGTGCCGCTTTTCCATGCATAGCCTTAATAATCATAGCTATCGAGAGAATGGGAAGAAAAAAACAAAACTTCCAAGCAAATGTTTTCCCACTGCATAGTTTTAACCAAATTTTTGCTTCTGTTTCAAAGGTGGGTCTAACAGAAACAAGAAACATATAACTGGCTTAAGAATAACAAAGTTAGAAAATAATTTTATTATTTCATTGATTTTCATAGTTATGAGGAACTGTGAGCCAGCAGTCAAAACAATAAAAACAGTAATAGCCACAGCTTACACTCACTGCTTACTCAGTAGCTGTTAGTCTTCTAAATATTTTACATACAGCAAGCTATCTGATGCTTACAACAGCCCACAAGGTAAACGTTATAAAAGAAAATGGAAGCATCAAATATTAACTCTCTGAGAGACATAAAGCTAGTAAATCAAGTCCGGTTAATAGCACCTGCTTCACTGATAACTTAACCAGACCTCTCAAATATTCCATCCCATTTATGTGCTATGTATTTAATTTTTTGAGAATGTATTCTATAGTTTTAGAGAAACTTTTCTGGGACTAAGATGAGCGAAAATGCTTCAATGGAGATTATTTTTCCTCTACTACATATCCCCAGCATTGAACTGAATGAAAGTTCCTCCTATCTACGTTACATGCTTTGCAATAAAGATTGCAAAGGAGTCATCACCAGCCAATGCGAAACACTTCAGTAGAGGCAGAGTGCAAAGCTGCCTTTCCCCCATAGGAGCTACTGCGTGGTTCTTCAGGCCTAGCAGCATCCCTTAGCTTCTGCCTGAAAAGGAGGGCGCTTCTCTCTTCTCTACATCTCCCTGACAGCTTTCTCTCCTGTCTAGGAGCTGTAGGAATTGTTCCCAGGTCCCTAACAGTCTAACCAGGAAAGATGATTCAGTTGGAAGGAAATTCAAACCAGGTAGGAAAATCAAGTGTCTGAGACAAAAGACTACAGCGACTTTACATTTAATGTAGAAAGACCAATTAAAACTTCCACCTAGTGCTTCCTGTTATATTTTTTAATTACTTTGGTACAGTAACACCACCAGAAAAAGACAGATTCCATATACTAAATGAACGAGTAAAATGTAAGAATATTTTGTCAAATTCCTGTTTTAGAATCATCACATCTAGAAAAATTAAAATATTATTGAATCTCTCATTTGCTTTCAACCCACAATATTGCCTCTTTTAGTTTAAAGCAACAACCAAAAAAAAAAAAAAAAAGTAAACCAATAGATCAAGTCGATGTTTTTCTGAAAAACAGAAAAATCTGTTCCAAAAGCTTTCGCTCCCAACAAATTGCAAATGTGGCAATGAGTCAAATTAAATTGAAAGGCACCCAGCAACTATAAATATAACACAAGTATGAATTGTACAAATAAACTCTCTGAAAAGTGGCACTTGCATCAGAAGTCTAACACTTTGAAAGAGCATAACTTTTTTTTCTCAAAGACAAAAAAGGGCATGTACTTACCGTGTCGAGAGCCTTGTCCTTGACATCATAGACCGTTAGTTTTATTTTGGTCTCCTCATAGATGGGATACTCTGATGGGAATATGACACCGGTCAAAAACAGTGGGTCTCTTGTTCCCTGAAAGAGCACAAGCAGACAACTTGGATTCCAGAAGGCAGCAACTGCTAGCGCAGCATGCAGAGACACACACACAGGAAGACGGCACGTCTCAGTTTTTCTAGGAAATAGTTCTATGAGAAGAGAGCTCTGAATTGCTAGATTTTGCTCATGAGTGACAACAAGGGCTGGGACCCGAAAGAACTGATACAGCTGCCCAGGGTAGAAGGACTTACATCCTTGTCAGAGCTGCTAGTGATGATGAGTCCTGCGAAACAATTTATTTTCATTACACACAGAAATTTTCTTTAGACCCAGTGGTCAATCCACTTACAATGTGTTTAACAGCTATAATCTATGATTTATGAAAATAGTCTCACATACTGGCAAAATGGAAATGATGCTATTTTCTCAAAAAGGTCCATTTGGTGGTCTTCTGCTGGCCATGTCTTTCCTTGCATGATTGCACTGAAAGCCATGCTCCGAGAGGGCCCGTTTGTTTTTACATGTTCCACCATGATGTTTCTCTACAGACCAACATGAAAACTAAAGAGGGAACTCTAAAGAACTTGGATATGGGACTATGAAATGACTAGCTCAGAATGCAGCACACAGCATATTTCAATGCCTCAGAACCGATTTTTAGAGAACTGCCATTTAGAATTAAATTACAGGCCCAGAGATATAGATTGGCATCATAGTGTCTGCCTGGCAAGCGTGGGGTTGTGAGTTCGACTGCTGGTACCAAAAATAAATAAATACATACATAAATAAATAAAATTTATATGCATATGTATATGTCTATATTCAAAATATTAAATTATGTATTATGGGAATATTTGCTCTAGTTCTATAGACCGTATCTATGGAAATTTCTGAAATCTCAAATTATTCATTCAAATGCTCATTCATTCACTCATTTATTCACTAATTCTTTTATTCCACAAATACTTTTGGCTTCATATTGTATCAGACATTTGGGGACAGGGAGTGAATAAAACAGTCCAAAACTGAAATACCTATTAAAATGGAAAATTTCAAAATGAGTCAACATAAATAATTTTTCAAGGTTATGCAGTTTTAATGACGTGTGTTTCACCACAACAAAAATACTGAAGGGGAGGTGATGAAAAATATATAAGTTATTTTCAAGTTTTGGCGATCTTTTAAAAATAACTTAGAACATATAAACCTAACAATTTTACAATTTTAGTAAAGTCATCTTCATACGAAGAAGATTATTTTTGTCAGTTCACCTCTAGCATTAACTGTGCCTAGAAATGTAAAGGTTCCAAAGAGCAGATTCAGGGCTACATGAATATCTGGGTCATTCCCATTATAGAAGTGACTGAGTTCAGTCTGAATCATGGATCCCACTCACTGCATCAAAGCAGACAGGCACTGCTGAGCCACCAGGTCTGGGGCCTCGGCTACTTAGATTCTTAGGAAGAAAATCTTCCTTCCAAACAGATGCAGCTCAAAGTCTAAAAATAAAACAAGTCCATCTGAAGTTTAGAGCACATTTTCTCCAGTCGCAGATGTGCAACTAAGTGTCTTTCACTAAGGTCATGAAATGTGTGATCAGAACCAAATTATCAAAAGGGAAATACTTCCTCTTTTGAATCTGATCCAACACAATAACGAGTTTCCTCCTGACACATTCTGAATGCTATATTCGTAACAGTAGATGTAAATAGGAAATTGCTCATGGGATGAGTAACATATACACCTTTTGCCTGGAAACATCACAGTTTCTCAATTAATAACCTAGCTTTCTTTGAAAAACATTGAACACTGAAAGACAGACACACACAGAGAGCAGGAAATATAAAGTTTCCAACTTTAGACTAAAGAACAAAAGAAAAAGGAAAGTAGCACAAATATACAACACATTGAGAACACCTATGTGCACTTTACAACTTCCCTAGAATGCATGTTCACACCCTTTCATTTAAAACTTAAGTGATTTTTGTTTCTCTCTTTATTCCATTCATTTGGGAATTCAAAGTGGAAATTACTATGCATGGAAGAAAAATTAGGTCTTCCAATGAAAATGGCAAGTTCTTCATGCATGTGTTTATTCTAAGTGATCAACACACACTCATGCTTAACAACTTCAGACATGATACTAAATGATGGAGCACAGCAGCAGCTATAGACCATGAAGGAAAAAGTCATTTTTAGCTATTTGCTGGGAGAGTGGGGGAGAAAGAGATAGGAGACAGACAGAGAGAGAGAGAGAGACAGAGAGAGAGAGAGACAGAGAGAGAGAGACAGAGACAGAGACAGAGACAGAGACAGAGACAGAGACAGAGAAACAGAGAGACAGAGAGACAGAGACAAAGAGCAAGAGAGACAGAGAGAGAGAGAGAGAGAGAGAGAGAGAGAGAGAGAGAGGCAGGGAGGGAGGCAGGGAGGGAGGCATGGAAGAAGAGGGAGGGAGAGAGAGAAAGAACACGCTGGCAGATAGCACACTCACCTCCACAATTTCAGTGCTGGAATATCTTGTCAGGCTCTGCTCTGCGGGGTGGATTACTGAGATCTGCACCAGGGTATTGAGTTTCCGATCACGGACAGGAGCCACAAGATCCTTGCAGGCTGCCAAAGGCAGAGAAAAGAGAAAGAAAAGAAACTAACACCATATCTTCAGGAAAACTTCTGTCCCTGGCTGAAAGTAAACTCAGCCAAGCGCTAAAGGAAACCTCCTGGGACCCAGGCTGAGTTTACAGAGGAAGTCTTCTGGAAGTACCTTACAGAAATAGGAAGTCACGTGCCCGGGAGCCGCACTGAGAGTTCATTTCCACTGACCACATTTGCGACTCATGCAAGTCTTGACTGCCTGAGATCCCGGCTGTCATGTGTGACAGAGCACATACTGCTCAGGGACTTCAGTGACTCTAGGTAGTCACCGCCCCCCAGGCTTTAATTCACCCTCCCCAACAGAGTAAATGGATCTGAGCCATATCCACAGCCAGCAAAGTACAGGTCCCTTCCTGACACTGGCAGCATTAGCACAACTGTCTGAATGCACACTGGGACCTTTCCTACCAACTCATTAGAACTGGGTTCCTGTAGTCTCATGCATGACCCCAGAACGGAAGATGGGTCCCAACACTGCAGCATACAAACGGGAGGAATCACAGGAGGGTTTTCAAAAGCATTCCACTTGGAGTTCAAGCCCAGACTGGGAGAGAGCAACCTGGAGTGGGATGAGTTAATTCTTGCCTGGGGGCCACTGTGTTAAGAACTTTACTCCAGACACCAGGCTCAAGTTACAGACACTCAGCACCATACCATATTTACTTGAATATTTTCTCCTCTCACATATCATTACCCCACTATAGGAAAGAAAAATCCAGTAAAAGATTCCTTTTGAGCAAGTCCATTATCATGTGCCCTGCCTTTTGAACTCTCTTCTTAAAAATCAGTACATGTTTTGTGAAAATGACTGAGATGTGATATGTATAGCACTGATTTCCCAAGATGAATGCTTGTATAATGTATTAATTATGCACCCTCCTTTTGGAATAGTAGCTTCTTGCCTTGAATTTGGGAGCAGCATGATTCTCAATGCCCTCTTCAAAGGCGGTTCAAGTCCAGCACAGTTGGTGGTTTGCCTGAGCCCTAAGAAAAATAAATGCTGGACTGTTAGAAAGGTGAGACATATACAGTCCCCAGTATAACATTGCTGTTGCTATTTTCCATGCCTGCTTTCAGGCTTTGACTATGAATTGGAGAACTGAGAAGTAGCCCTTGGTGCTGATTCTCCAAGGTAGGATGCAGGATTCTACAAGGTCCCTCCAAGATCTACAACCTCTGGGGGAGGAGTGAGGGAAGGCAGCCAAGGAGGTCTATTTACACTCTACACTGACACTAATATGGCTCACAGGACCTCCATCCACTGAGACAAGGATAACAGGGCTTACAATTAAGATTTTAAAATAAAAGAAATTACACATATAATTATCACCTTTCAATCACTTAGAGATCATCTCACTTACAGAAGCTGGGTGAGATTTACAAAACAGGAGTTTAAAATGAAAACAGCCCTGGTTTTAGCCCAGGCCTAATAGCTAAATGAGACTGAGAAAATTATTTAACTTCTTGATTTCTTCTTATCCGACTTTAGGATTCCCTGCTCTACCTGAAATTCAGTCCTAAGTTTACCTTGGTTAAGCCACATACATCAAACAATACAGGAGAGCACAGGAACCGTGTGTGGAAAAAAATAACAGCCAGTTTCCTTACCCCTCACTGTTTTTGAGGAATTCTGCTCATCACCTTTTGGTTTCTTGGAACAGTGTTTTGAATTACTACTTCAGTTTTGCATACTAAGACCTAGCTTGGAAACAAAGTGATCACAGTCACAGGATTGGACTTCTCTGGTAGCTGTTTCCCTTCATACCTCACAAGGCCACTTCTCTCCTTGGCTTAGTGACAGCTCCTCTGCACAAAAGAACCTCTGGTTGGCAGCACAGCCACCATGGTTCTGTTTTCTCATGCTAATACATCTATGCTTTTAAAAAACACTAATGGGAGGTCTCAGTAACATCAAGCTATCACTGCATGGAAACCAAAGTCTAGATTTAGACAAGATGTTTGGGGGTATTTTGATCACTTCACTGACTTGCTTTATTAATGTCTTTAGTTCTGCCCTGCCCCCGTTCTCTCGGTTTTCTGCTCACAGGGAGCATTTCCTGATGCTGACAAATAGCTGTCACTGGATGGTAGAGCTGGCTCCACTGTGCTTCAAACACATGCATGGTGCTCTTTCATGGTGATAACTTCACCTCCGTGTCTTGAGCTCATGACACCTTTGCTCAGAGTAAGTCACTGTTTCTGAGTTCTGTCAGCCTTGACTGTGGGCTGTGGTTGGTTCCCAGAAGCAAGGAGCTGACCTTGATTTCATCAGAGAACTCTCAGACTCACTCCCATAAGAACAGAAAAAAATCTCTATTAAACTCAAAGGGTCTGTGCAGCTCCAGTAGAAGATTTCTCAATCCTGAGCAAGGAAAGACAATAATCATGGTGCTTTTCATTTCCTTGTGTTCTATATCTACAAGTTTGGCATAGAAAACAGCAACACTAACAGTTACCTACTAGAAACTTTGCTTATCTGTTTTGTTCCTAACAGTCCAGAGCATTTACTCTTCCTTCTGACTCGGGCAACAAGGTATCTGGGAGACAGCCTGAGATCAAGCAGAACCCTGAGATGCAGCCTAGAGTCTCCCTTCCTAGACCTGTTGTACTAAACAACAGACTCTTGGCACTCAGATCTTAATCTATCAACTCACTTGGCAGGGTAGAGGTAAGGGGAATGTTAAGCCTTTTATGAATGGGCTTTTTTATGCAAAAATGCTTCTTAATATCATTGCCCTAATTTTACCAATATTTGATACATTGTATTTATGTAACATTTTTTTTTACTGATTCAGTCATAGTCAGACAGCTCCTTAGATGCTAGTGTCAAGTCTAATACCAAACCAGTACATGAGTCATTGCCTTTCATCAGTTGAAACCCAGACATGTCATGGGTCTACACATACTGAAACTGTCTCCCTGGAGGAGAGATAAATGGTGACTGAGTGGATTGCTCCATAGAGATATTACTCACTCGAACACTACACAATTTAATCTGCATGGGAATTATTTAGTGTCAGCAGAGAAACCTGAATACCAATTTTGAAAAATAAAATGTTGCATCAGTCTTTCAGCCACACCTAAGACTCTCCATTACCCAAATAAAACTGCTCCTGGGGGGCCTGCATAAAAGAACTCCCTAAACTTATATGAATGAAGGGATGCAATGGTTTGAAACTGTGTTTCTCTTTTGGTTAGGATTAACTTTTAAAACGAGAAATGATTTGTATCAAACTGGTAGTAACACATGCTGATCTGTAATTACTCATTCATCACTAAACTTCCTACTTTTATTTCTGCCTTTTTACTGGTTTTGTTTTAGATTGAAATATCTAAAACTACTCCCCAGATACAGAGTAGTTTTAATACATACAAAGTTGATACATTGAGATTCAAACGTACTTGAGTTCATTAACTGACTAATTTTTTTTCCTGAAAAGAGAAAAATGACAATAGAGAATGAATGAGTAAACACTTATAATTTGAACTTTTTTTCAGAACAAAAGTTGAGTCATTATTATTCCAGTTAATGTTGTAACAGTAACTATAAACATGAGTGTCCTTGTTTTTTCCCTAATAATGGTGCGTTAGATCCCTATAAGCATCTCATAAGAGAATTACACAGGAGCCAGGCAGATGTCACACTAGTACAAAGAAATTTTCAGTAGAAGTGGAATGATAAATAATGAATGACACCTCAGTATCTTGGGAGAAGTTCAAGCATGCAACCATGCAAAGCTGAGACTATTTTATGTAAGGACCTCTATACACATTCACTGCCTGATAAAAGCAAAGGCCTATGGGCCTGATTCGAGCATTCACCCAAAGTTTGAAACTCATGCATTGTGCGGGCTAACAATAGAAGGGAACACAAAATTCATCTTTTGGTAGATCTGGCCTGTGGGCCACAAGTTGCTTCCTTTTGTTTTTAGATGCTTATAGTTATTGGTAGATCTCAGGAAGAAAACAGATTGTCTTCTGATTTGATTGTTCTAATACTTTAGTGTCCAAAAATCTAAAAAGTAATGATCTTCAGGGTTTTTGCTGAGTCAAATATTTCATCTACCTCAAAATACCATTGGTGTTTTGCTTTATATTATTATTACTATTTATTATATTACCAGAGATTGAATCCAGGGCCTTTGTACACAGCTACAGACTTAGCCATTCTTAATTTTCATTTTGAGAAAGGATCTTCCTAAACTCCTCAGGCAAGATGTGAATTTGTAATTCTCCTAACTCGGCTTCTATAGTCCTAGGATTACAGGCATGCAATGCAAAGCCTTGTACTATTATGAGTACGCGTGTTTTTCTTTTAAAGGCATAAGGTTTTGTTTCATTCAGTCACTGCTTCTAAATCTTGTATCTTTATCAAATTCATAGAGTCTTTCTATCATTGTGGCCACTATGATTAGGAGCTTAAAACTTTCTCTTGGCTTCTCTCAACAAGCTAAGTCAAGCAATAATCAAGTCAGAGCAGAATGCAACTGCTCCTCCAGCTGCTTTTGAGCTCAGCGGTGCTGCCACAATCCAAGGAGTCCTCAGCCCTGCACGAGATGTGCAGTGCAAAAAAAAGCATGGAAGGCTGGTCTTCTGGTGAGACAGTGGCCTGAGCCCTGGGAAGCTGAAACATACGGTAATACCAGACACTGGCCTCTTACCCTCTCAGAGCTCCTCTTTTCCAGGAGTGAGTCATTTTCTTGCTTAATTCCCATTTCTGCCATCCAGGGTTAATGGCATCTAGCAAAACTTAATTCCCTACTCAGAACCACACAGTATGGCATATAGAAGATAAACAAAGGCACTTGATGCCAGGATTAGGCCCAAATTCAACTATTCAACTTTGGACAAATCACTATTCTTTTTGAGACTCTATTTTCTTACCTATAAGGTGGAGGCAACAGAATAGGAAGCAACAGATAGGATTAATAGGATTTATAAATTTGTTATAAAGACTA